AGAGGAAAAAATGTTTTTTTAAGTTTTACACTCAAAAATGCAAACCTTTTATGAACCTTCACTACATATTTCTTAGTATTTGCTTAATGTTGTCTTTGTAATTAATATATTTCTATCCCTAACATCTAATTTTCCATTGTGTTGCCTTCGTGACTATAAAAATATAGACTATCTAGGATTATTAGCTTGCAGAGGCCTGGCACCAAACACTAACTCACATAAAATAACACAATACAATGAATGCCATGATACATTAAGCAAAAGTGTTTAATAAATGCTTGTGCTGCTGAGCTTCTCAATTCCAAATTCTATCTTTTAGTTTTACAGTTTTAAAGGTCTGATACGTTACACTTTGAACTAGTCTACAAAAGCCATTCTAAGGAGACGGTAAAATCTAGTGATTATGAATAGGCTCTGGAGTCAGAAAGCTTAGGTTCAAATTCCAATTCTTGTTACCTTGAACAAATTACTTAAGCTCTGATTTTCTTATGTGTAAAATAAAGACAATCCAACAGTATCTGACCAGGTTATTAAGATTAAAATATATAATGCACATAAATACTTATGTATGCCTGGAATAAAGTAGCACTTAATGTCACTAAATTTTTAAAAAGAGATTTCCTTTATGAAATTTGGCTGCAGAATGCATACAATATTCATGCAAAAACATTTTATTTCTATACTTTCATATAAGCACAAAGGAAACAGGTAAAAATAATCTCTAAAGTAACAATGGTTACTATTCCCGGAGATCAGGTAACCATATCTCCTCGTTTTCCCAGGGTAATTCTGAATTACACCTGTTGTCCCAACATAAGTAAGTCTCCTACAAGCCTCTTCATTCAAATAACCTGGAGTTGAAATGATAAATATATGGTCAATTGTGCTGGTTATTAAGTTTTTGTTTTTTTGTTTTTTTGCTCCAAACCACTATTTTATACTCAACTGTTTAATACTGGAATTGGAACTATGTAAACTACATTTCTTCTTTGCCAGCTGCATTTTTGTAAGGCTCCACTAATAGGACTAGAAGAGTGAAACAGAAAGGCAGGAGGCAGAAAGAATCTTTGCTTTTGTTCCTGGTTTCAGTCTCCAGTTTTTTCTCAGCATTTCCCAAACCAGCCTCCTCATCCCTCAATACTAGTACCACCTACCAATGTCCCAGACTACTTGCTTTACAAGAATCTTCCAGTTTCTCTGTTCCTTCAGCTCTAAGGGTGGTAGTCATTTCCTGCAGTTAACTATCTCAGTATTCCCTTCCTGATTATTTGGTTCCCGGTACCAATTTAAACTATTTCTTATATTACACTCTGTTAAAATATATAGTTATGTTATTCTTTTCTTTTGATTTGAAGCCAAACTGGCACTAATACTATTCAGAAAGGAATGGGAATGGAATTGAGGGCTATAAAAAATTGCCTTTACTTTATACAATGTCTTTATGTATTATTTGTGCAATTTAAATTTAATTACATATTTTTAAGGATTTTTGAAATTATTGTGTTTTCTTCACATTGGTATTCAGAACATTGTAAATAATCTTTTTAAAAGACATACCACTAGCTCGGCTGGCTTAGCTCAGTTGTTGGGCGTCAGCCTATGAACCAGGAGGTCACAGGTTCAAGTCTTGGTCAGGGCACATGCCCAGGTTGCAGCTGGATCCTTAGTAGAGGGTGTGTAGGAGGCAGCCGGTCAATGATTCTCTCTCATCATTGACATTTCTATCTCTTCCTCCCTCTCCCTCTCTGAAATCAACAAAAATATATTTATTTAAAAATAAAAAAGACACATCATGGTAAACCAAGACAATTTACTGTCAGAGTCTATCACCAGATAGATGGCTAATGGAGTTGAGGCCATTTTAGTCACTCAATTGGAGTCTTTTCATCATGGTGTTTGCTAATTGAAGTCTATTAACACTAGCACATCAACAAAATATGAAGTCTCCCATTAGAAGTGCTGCATGAACATCCTGCAATACAGGATTAAATAAGCCTGGAACAGAATTTATGATATATTAAGTATGTAACAAATATGTATTTGTATTTTCCCTCCATCACAACTACCTACCTCCAGAGGCTAATCTAAGAGCTGCTGATAGTTCATAGCTTCTTTAGAAAGTAGACTACTTTGGCTTAAAACAAAGGTTAAGAGAAAAATCTTAGCTAACAAATCCCAAACTATCGAAGCTTACCAGGACATCAAACAGCAATGTACTAGGCAAGTTAAATAAGAAATAGGTATTTTCTTACATCATGAAATGCCACTGCATGACAAATATACCTACAACACATTTTGTGATCAAGACATAGAAGTCATTTCATCAGTAGACTGATCAAAAAAAATTTTAATTTCTAAGTCTATTTGTTGCCTTGGATATTGTACTAATATAAACATTGATTTCATATTCAAAATTAACTTTTAGTATGATGAACAATTAACTTGCAATTAACAATTAACTTCTAGATAACTATTGAAATGTCACCGCTGTGATATTACTTCCTACTAATATTTTTTTGTTAAATTTCCCATTGATAACTCTTAGTGGAGTACTCTACAGTGGTCGGCAAACTGTGGCTCGGCAAACCATGGCTCGCAAGTCACATGCGGCTTTTTGGCCTCTTGAGTGTGGCTCTTCCACAAAATACTGACTTCTGCGCATGGGCCACGAAGTTTCAATCGCACTGCGTGCGCGCCCATACGTGGTATTTTGTGGAAGAGCCACACTGAAGGGGCCAAAGAGTCGCATGTGGCTCGCAAGCCGTGGTTTGCCGACCACGGCTCTAGGAGGTTCACAACATTTAAAGGGCTCATATTATTACTGTACCTTACATTTAAAACAAGAAATCTAAGGAAAGATCACTGGAATAAACAACTCAGCTTTCTTCCTGGAGAGCCCATACCAAAAGGAACTGTATTATTAGTGAAAGACCAGTATAGATATAATTTCTCTATTACCTATTTCCCATAACTGTTTCCCCCTAACATAAACTACTACAAGCAGAAGAACCCACCAACACCTGCAGTATCTGTCTCTTCTATTTCCTGGCAAATCAAAGAATGTTCCTTATACAGGTAAAACAGTCTTAAATGATTTCTGTGGCTTATAATTTTCTATTTGCATAACTGTTATGTTTAATTGAATGATAATTATCTTAACAGATCAAAATTCCAAAATTTAAATCTTTCATTTTGTCAAGAAGTTAGATGATTCAAACTATATTCAATTAGTTTAAGAAGGAAATATCCATATTTGACATAACTTACATTGACACCAAAAATGTTATAGAATACCCTAGAATAAATAGATCTACATGCACAAAACTTTCTTTCTTCGAACTGACAGACATGACTCTTAAAAAAAGGAATTATGCTTACACAGATGGCCCCTAAAATGTACTAATACATTAACAGCTGACAGCTCAATTGATGTTTCTTTTCAGATTTAACCCATTATAATTAACTAGAGGCCCAGTGCATGAAATTCCTGCAGGGGGAGGGCGTGTCCCCTTAGCCCAGCCTGCACCCTCTCTAATTGGGACCCCTCAGGGGATGCCCAACTGCTGGTTTAGGCCTGATCCTGCCTAAACTAGCAGTTGGACATCCCTCTCACAATCAGGGACCGCTGGCTAACTGCTTACCTGCCTGCCTGCCTGATCACCCCAACCGCCTCTGCCTGCTGGCCTGGTCGCCCCCAATTGCCCCCCTGCCAGCCTGATCACCTCTAACCGCCTCTGCCTGCTGGCCTGGTTGCCCCCAATTGGCCCCCTGCCAGGCTGGTCACCCCTAACTGCCCCTGTGCCAGCATGGTTGCCCCAAGAGCCCCCCTCTGCTGGCCTGGTCACCCCTCACTGCACCCCCTGCCGCCTGGTCACCATACATAGCCTGCTGTTCAGTTGTTTGGTCGTCCCTCACTAACCCCTCTGCCAGCCTGGTTGCCCCAAGCAGCCTGCTGTTCAGTCATTTGGTCGACCCTCACTAACGCCCCTGCCAGCCTGGTCACCCCACTTAGCCTGTTCGGTCGTCCGTTCAGTTGCGATGGTCCCTGGCTCTTTATATATATAGATAATTATTCAAAGTGTATATACATTTTGGGGGGAGACCTGTACTGAGTCATCATCTTGTATGGAAACATGAAATGCTAAACTTGTAGTGGAAAAAAGTGCTATTCTATTGTTATTTGTATTTCAATTATGTTTCTGAAACCAGTAGCGTAAAGAGGAAAGATTTATGAAAGATACTATTGGGGGCTAATAAGTATTTGAAATAAAAATGAAACAGAAAATTTACAAAAGTTTAAAATACTAATAAAATAAACATTTTATTAATGAAAGTCTGAAAAACATGTACACCAAAACAAAAGGGACTAATGCCAATTTAGAAACCTTCTAAGAATTTGTACCACGATTCAATTTTTTAAACTTTATATATATAAAAAGCTATAATTACAATGCTATGAACTATTAGAGTGCTAACAATACTTTTTCATACAAAGAAACTTAACAGTAGTAAAATATGAATACATAAGATGCTTATTTTTGGTCCCTTTTGGGAAAAAACAAAAACTAAGTTGTGGTGTGTGTTTTTACATGCCTCCAAGCACAAAAATAGAATATAAGATGATAACTGCAACATTCTTAGTGTTTTTCCTTGTAATTCTTTAAATGTCACCAGTCATAATAGCAATGAACTCCTCTTGATTTACTGTGATAAAAAAGAAAACGTAAGTCAGAAATACAGTTTTTTCAGAGAACATTATTATTATTTTGTATTAAATATCTTTAAATTTTATATTATACAAATTACTAATAAACCAAGACAGTATTTGCTTTTAATTCTTTGCTAAGAAGTTGAAGGTTTATTAAACCGAATTTCATGAGTGCACAAATATATAAAATGTGATAGAAAAGGTAATATTGTTACAAAAAAGTCCATCATCATAATAATATTTGTATACATGTGCAAAGTTTTTAAAGCTTGGAATTTTTAATTTTTAGATGGTTAAAGCCTATAATCTTTATTCTACTAGTTCATTTAGCAAACCCTTCCTTCATAAATAAGTTAAATATATCAAGCATATAAATTAGAATTCTGAAAGATGAAAACATAAGCATTAGAAAAACAGTCAAATTGGTTTAATTGGTATTGTGTTTTGTTTTTTTGAATTTTAATATGTTTAAAAGCCTATTTTAAAGAAAAACTCATTGAAACCAGGTCTCCATACAACAAAAATAAACAGAGAAAATTATAACTTTAAAATATAGATTTAATCTTAACTACAAAGGTAATCCCATGAAATATAGTTGTGAATGCAGGAAATAATCACTGATAAAGTTAATTATTAGCTTATCAAAATTATAAATAAAATCCAGTAAGAACCTCCAGTTTATAAAACATAATGCATAAGAAAACAACCTAGAAATAATAGGTGATGATACATAATATTAATGTGATCTTAATAAATATGTTTTAAAAAACAAATATACATACATACACATAAATATTAATAGAAATCTTCAGAAAAGAATGCTTTCACTTTGTAAAACAGGTAAGTTCACAGGTCCCAAGACTTAACATATACCTTAACAAGACACAAGTTAGGAATGATAATTTTGATAATGATAAGAACATAGCTCTGACACAGAACTGTTCTGCATCTGAAAATACTGTTCTACATAGATAATCTTTTAGGCTGTTCCTAAATCTTAAATACCATAGATGATATATATGAAAATACACTATATAATTAAACATTTTAAAGTGCCTAGTAAATGCCAACACCATACTAGAAGTTATGTACTTTATCAAAATAAACACCAGGGTTCCTATTATGGAATATCTTAAAATTTAATTAAGAAAAATATTAAGTGATATAAAATTGTTAATTTTCTTCTGATAACAATGATATCATAGTTAGGAAAGATAATATCATTAGTAGTAGGGACATGGTAAAATATTAGAGGGGTCAAGTTTATGATATATTTTCAAATGATTCAGAAAAACATATGTATGCACTATATAGTTAAAGCAAAACAATATATTGTTAATTACTGAATCTAGTAGAAGGCATAAAGGTCGTCGCTGTACTATTCTAATATTTTTCCTCTGTGTAAGAAGAATTAAAAAATTAACCAATTAAAAAAGTTGAGTAGATAAAATATGTACATCAGAAATAAAAAATTAGCCCTAACGGGTTTGGCTCAGTGGATAAAGCATCGGCCTGCAGACTGAAAGGTCCCAGGTTCAATTCCAGTCAAGGGCAAGTACCTTGGCTGTGGGCACATCCCCAGTAGGGGGTGTGCAGGAGGCAGCTGATCGATGTTTCTCTCTCATTGATATTTCTAACTCTCTATCCCTCTCCCTTCCTCTCTGTAAAAAATGAATAAAATAAATAAATAAACCACACCAATAAAAAAAAAAGAAATAAAAAATTATACTGGTACCAGAAACCATATATAAAACCAATTTCAGTCATCATGTTAGTCACATTTTATACCTGAAACAGAGAATAAATGTTGTATAATACAAAGCATGATTATTAAAATAAAACTACATTATTAGTGTTGAAAAAATCCATTATAATGGGAAAAATCACTACTGATGAGAAAAATGTGGGTAAAAATAAATCTTGACTTGGGCTCCAAAATGAAAATATAGGATTTAGTTTGACAGGTGGAAAAAAAGCTAAGGTTTTTGTTTTTTTTTAGCAAACCATCAGAAACAGCTGAAGATAGAAAGTAGTGCAAAATTAGGCTATAAAGAGTGAAGAAGAATGAGCTCTCCAAAAGGTGAATAAGAACCATGAATCCATGTATTCAATATTACACATTTACAAGACACTATGACAGGTATAGAACAGAACAAAAAAAACCTCTATTACTCAAAATACTTTCATTACCTTACAAATTATAGTTCATTAACCTTTGCAGCTAAATTAACACATTTCAATATTTGATGAAAGCTGTGATCCCTCTCTCACCAGTTGATATCTATCTTATCCTCCTATATAATAAAAGGCTAATATTCAAATCGACCAACTGGCAGAACAATATTCAAATTGACCTAATGGCAGAACAACCGGTCTCTATGACACGCACTGACCACCAGGGGGCAGACGTTCAACACAGGAACTGCCCCCTGGAGATCAGTGCACTCCCACAGGGGGAGCACCACTGAGCCAGAAGCCCTGAGCTGGGAGAGCAGCAGCAGTGGTGGGAGCCTCTCCCGCTTCTGTGGCAGCGCTAAGGATGTTTGACTGGCAGCTTAGGCCCGCTCTCCGTGGGGAGGGGGCCTAAGCCATCACTCAGACATCCCCCAAGGGCTCCGGGACTGCAAGAGGGTGCAGGCCAGGCTGAGAGAGTCCCCCCACCAAGTGCACAAATTTCATGCACTAGGCCTCTAGTGTGTGTGTGTGTGTGTGTGTGTGTGTGTGTGTGTGAATTTTAAATGATTTCATTGTTATGCACCTTCATTTTAGAATCTTGATTTAGTCAATCTGACTGAAGCATGTAAACCAAAACAGGAAATAAAAGGACGTTTTCTCACCCTAGCCAGTTTGGCTCAGTGGATAGAGTAGGGGTGGGCAAACTTTTTGACTCGAGCGCCACAATGGGTTCTTAAACTGGACCGGAGGGCCGGAACAAAAGCATGGATGGAGTGTTTGTGTGAACTAATATAAATTCAAAGTAAACATCATTACATAAAAGGGTACGGTCTTTTTTTTTCAATAGTTTTATTCATTTCAAATGGGCCGGATCCGGCCCGCGGGCCGTAGTTTGCCAACGGCTGGGACAGCGCATCGGCCTGTGGACTGAAGAGTCCCAGGTTCGATTCCAGTCAAGGGCACATGTCTGGGTTGCAGGCTAGGTCCCTGATAGGGGGCATGCAGGAGGCAGCCGATCAATGACTCTCATCATTGATGTTTCTATCTCTCTCACTTCCTCTCCCTTCCTCTCTGAAAGCAATAAAAATATATTTTTTTTTAAAAAAAAAGAGGATGTTTTCTCAGGAAAAACAACAAAATGAAAGAAGTCTTAGAATGATTTGGTTATAAATCATTTTAACAGCATAATAGAGCCATGATTAAAATATTCAAAGAGTACTTATGTTTTGTTAAAGACCTAGACATTTTCTCTATAATTTAAAATTTTAACACTCAAATTTCAAATTAAACTTCCTATCATTCTAAAACCACAAACACTTAATTTTTATATTATTTATATATAAACACCTTAAAGTATTAGAGCATTTCAAAAGTATTTTAAACTATTCCATAATTTCATACCTCAAAACAGAATACTTAAAAACAAAAAAGTGGAAAACTAAAGGGAAGTAGTTAAGAAATTAAACTACTTCTTTTATTACCAGTAAACTATTCAGACAACTAAGAGAATCTGTGATGCCTTTGTACATTTGGTTTTATGATCTACTCTATCAACAATAGAGTAGATCAGGTTACTATATCTAATAAATCTAGCATAATACCCACCTTAAAATAGGCGTTTAATAAAACATTTACTGAATCAAATGATATGATACTTTATTTTCTTCTACGCTGCCTTTTAAAGAAAATGTTCATAAATCAATCATTTCATAGGGTAAATCACATTACACGTTATTAAAATAAAGAAATTTGAGAAATTATGTAGCTTAAGTACCTTAAGACCATCTGTCTTTGGAGGGAACAAAAACATATTTTAGCATCTCAAGTGCCAATTGAACATTTTTACTAATCAATTTCTCCCTATAATAGTATGCATTTTGTAAAATTCTATAAACAAATACCTAATTAATATTTAACTTCATAGCAAAAGAGGCAATACAGTGTTGTAATAGAAAGTATGTTGTCATTATGGTAATCTGAGTTTGAGTTCTAGCTCTGCCATGTATTAGCTTTATGATAATGTTGAAAAGGTTATTATTAATCTCTCAGAGCTTTAGTTTCCTTATCTATACCTGCATCTATCCTAAGCATAAATAGGTTTAACATTGCATTTACTTCACAAAAGCTATTATGACAACTAAGTGACATAATTTACCATGTAACATACTAAGCACAGAATCTAACATATATTAACTGGTTAATATATGTTAACACTCATCAGAATTATTTACAAAACTAGAGGCCCAGTGCATGGGATACATGCACTGGTGGGGGACATGGCCTGCAGGGATCGGCCCGCTGCAGGAGCAGGCGCTCATCCTGGTCAGCCAAGGGGTGCACTGTGGGAGCGCACTGGCCACCGGGGGGAAGCTCCTGCATTGAGCGTCTGCCACCTGGTGGTCAGTGCGTGTCATAGCAACTGGTCAACCAGTCATTCTGCCGTTTGGTCGCTGTACTTTCATTATATAGGATAGTCCACTTTGGCTTTTTAAATGTTGCTTCCATTTTCCAAAAAAAATTTACTGTGTTTTACTTTATATATGTTGGGAGAGATGGTAGAGAAGAGATTCTTTCTATATCATTACCACAGCTTTATTTATATTTTATACTAGAGGCCCACTGCAATAGGCCTTCTTTCCCCTGGCTGCCAGCACCAATTTTCCTCCAGCACCCAGGACCCAGGCCTTCATTCGGGCCACAGCGGAGAAGGCAAGTCTCTTCAGTCTTCAGTCGTCTTCAGTCTTCTCAGTCTTCACTCTGCACCTGCATATGCAAATTAATCACCAATCTTTGTTGGGTTAATTTGCATACTCATCAAGAT